AAAAAACAAATTCTATATGAAATGAACATATTCGGTTAAAGATAGAAAATAAGTTGGAAACTGTGTCTAAAAAAGGCTTAAATGTGACCAGTTATTGAAAATGGGACATTTCATTCCATTGTTTAAAGCATATTTGGAAAAAACAACCAAGTGGCCGGTCAAAGAAGTATTCATTGAGCAATGGATCGAAATTAGTAACTGATAGCGTTAAACGTGAGAGACGTGTAGCCGGAATTTTCTTCATTGTTGCCTGGCACGTTTTATACTTCGTTCCTCCAACGTTCAAGATTATGCACTCATCTATGCCAACCACCTGAAGATGTTGTGGCCATGTATTCAAGAAAATCAAGAATTTACAAACGCACATAAAGTGAATCATATGGTGGAAAGTGTGTAAAGATTTTTGATAAAATTAGTAAAGTAAATGAAACCAATCTGATGAGATTACCAATAATACAGTGAAATTAACAAAAACAAAACAAAATTATTTGTGGGACGGAATTCCTTGTAAAAGTATGAGAGGCAGTAATGGCAGTCTTTCAGTTGCAAGTAATTCCAACTTTTGTATTTTGGTGACATGCACATTCCTCTCGTATTGCCATTCATGACACGATGAAAGGATGAGAGATCAAAATGATTTCATCTTATTACTAATATAAAACGATAAAGTGTTGAAACAATCTTTGACTACGCAGTATCAGTTTGCAGTCATTACTCATACAAATGGAAATTTGTGACAAAGAGAAATGCAAGAACGAAAGAAGTGGAAGATTTCAGTGTCAGTTTTCTGCTACTACCCGAAGTCTACAAGGATCAATTGGTGATAACACTTTTATATTATTGTAACTGAAGGCAATGTTTTGTCAGTTGTTCTAATTCTTGGTTTAGTCCATATAACAAACATTACTCGATTTCAATTTTAAAACACTTTAGAAACTAAATTCGTTCGAGAATTATAAATTAAAAAAAATGGAATACGGATAACGATCGAGCCGAGTTTTAAAACCAAAATAATAATGAAACGAGAAAAAGAGAATAGAATTTCGCAAAAACCGAGGAAAAGGAGAAATGAAGGAAATAAGGAATGGAAGATTTTACGAACACTGACAGGAAATGAAAACTGTTATGAATGCTTGTTAGGAAGTAGCGACAGTTGAATTGACAATAGCGAGATGATAAAGGTGGAATTAAATTGGGCAGAAAGATAAGGTATATTCGAAAACGAACTAATGGAAGAAGGTTCTTTCGAAAACCTGGAAGCTATCAACTTTTTAATGATGTTTATTTCGGTTTCAATTAATTTTTGGAAGGACGTAGATTTTCCCTAATTTTTTTTTTTTTTGGATAAATAATACGGATTTTAAGCAGATTCGATTTATGATGTTTTCTTGATGACTGACATTACAAGACATTTTGGTGAGATTGCTTTTGTCTCGTTCATACTCACGATAGATGAGAAGTATCCAGTCATTCGACAAATATACGAAGGTTAAATGATGTCAATGAATCACGACCTTATATCAAGTTGATATCCGACTAAAATAGTCATAGCAGCAATCAAACTAGCTCAGTCCAAATCCAAATATTCTTGCATCAAAGGAAATTTTTTCAACAGTGATGCAAAATGTCGTGTGAGATCCACGGGTAAAAACCAACCTTTCTGAGGATTCCATATATATACAGATGGATAAACGAATAGAAAATAAACTAATTCATTGTATACACAATTCAATTACTTTTACTACTCTTTGCTGCAACAGTAGCATTTTTTGTTTCATGCGAAAAGATTTATTTTTTGCAAGAAATTTTGTTCTAAATTAGCAAAATGAAATTCAGAATCCTTAGAGAAATAAGTGGTCTTGAAAACCGGTCAGGAAAACTGTTTTTTCTGATGATTTTTTGATGATGAGGTCTTTTACCGATTGCTGTTACTTCGAAAGTTAAGCACTGAAATCATCAAATTATTCAACCTATTCTCCACAAATAAATCCAATGGTCATTAATAATTAGCCAGTTAAAATCGTTCATTCAATTGACATGACTAGGATAACATGAGTTTAGTCATCTGTCGTTGTGATGATCATATCACTTCCAATAAATTTATGAAACAACTTATTCAAAACCTTTTATTGAAACCAAAACGAATTCCAAAAAAAGGAAGGAGAAATGCCTTGATCAGAAGTCATATACCATTGTGCTAAGTTGAATTATATTAAAAAAGATTCCGAAGCAACGAGTTAAGTCCAATTATATTAAAAAAGGATTAAGTCTTGGCAGTACTTTTTTGATCACTGATGGAGAAATGTAACAATAACTGTCATTCTCATCGCCCTGTCAATCAATTAAACACCCAAATTAATGTTCCAAATTTTGATACTGATCAAATATCAATTCGACATGTATAATAATTCTGATTAATTTTAAGCTACAATTAAAATAACTGTTCTGGGAGAAACACAGCTACAAAACCGTGACATCAAATTAAAAGAAATTATTTAAGATTGGTCCTTTGGAGTTTGGATCAAAACAATCAACGCACTCTCGAAGTGAATAAATGTGTGAATCTCTTTCATTCCTACAGTCCTCTCTGTTTCTCTTTGCATACACAATTGACACTTGAAACTGTCAACTTCCAATGTTCCAATGTATTTGACAAAGGCGGAAGTAATCATATTGAGGTGCCAGCGAAAGGAAGTGAAGCGTAGTGAAAAATTCCGTTTAATCTTCAATTCACTGTTTCCATTACAGAATGAAATCTATTCCTTTTGCAGGATTTTACAACAAAATTGAAATGAGTGAGCTATAAGATAAGAAAGCGGAGGGAATAGGCAGAGATGTGGAAAGGAAGAAAATGATATTAAACTTATGAAGTGGAATTGCGGAATTATTCAGAAGGCAACCAGGCGGGCATTAACTAAACAATGATCTTATCTATCATATTATTCAGTGAACAAAACAGATTTTTCATTTATATATTTTAAAATCAAATCCGATGATTCAGATTTATATTACTATATTGTTCCGTTTCCGAAAAATTGAATTCCTTGAATCAACAATACGAAATTTAATATAATATTTATTAAATGTATTGAATTCATTGATTTTATTGAATACACATACATTTTGCCACTGACATACGTTCGTAAACAAATAAATGACCAAATTTAATTCTAACGTTTAACGATGAAATGTATTGAAATTAAATGGCAAAATATGAAATAACACAAGCATATAAGTCTTGCAACTTAACAAATCAATGATAAATGATGACGAAATATGCCGACATTTCAGTGTGACAATTCATTACGCTATGGGACTGAATTAGGAAAGTGTTGGAGTAAATTGAAATATGTTGAATGACTGAATCAGGCAATTTTCCTCTTTCACTGGTTCGTGGCTAACAGTAATATAAAGTCAGAGCCAGAAAGACAGTGTTGGTCTCTACTTTCCCTCTGTAAGATGTTTAAGATGAAGAACGCGCAATATTGTGGTAATTCTATTCCTAAATTAATGCACTGTGGCGCTGAGAATGACAGTAATTCTTCAAAGCGTCGTTTTCAGATTAATATTTAAAAGCAGTTAAAATGAATTATAACATGTCATTAAGGTCAAGGAACGTACTTACGTTCCCGAAACGTTGAAGTCGTACTGTACATGCACTTTTGCTAAAGTTCCAAGTAGCAAAGAGCAATGAGTATCCGACTGACTAGTGAAAAAAGCTCGTCCCGTTATATTATTTCCCAAAGACCACCACATACCACATTACTCTTTGAAAGGTGACTTTCACCAAATTGACAAATTAATAAAACTTAAGTTTTTTAAGCGTAAAAAGGAAGTTTAGGTGAACAACTCTCTAAAAGTTGCAAAATAGCATACTGCTGTAATTGAATAACACCAAATCAATGATTGAGTCACTATACGTACCACACGTACTACGCGCTTAAAAGAATCTTCAAATATTGTAATATTAGCAATATATTATGGCTGGAGAGGGAATGTGACGTACATGTAACACGACCAAACTACTTGTTACTCTTACTCCTTCGTTAATTAGTCAGGTGACTAGCGCTTCTCGAGACATTAAAACATTTAAAAGGATCTATCTTACCACTTTATTATTTGCAGCATATCACTCCTTAAACGTTTTTAATTGATAAATCGACAAATAAATAAATGATAAGTAAAATTTAAATGAGTTTCACTCGGGAGCTAACACAAGTCCTTTACTGAGAAACAGCCTTCACAAGTGTCCTTTGACAATGAGCAGTGCTTCAAACTTTATATTATGATTCTTAAATTCTCTCTCCAATCCAAACGACGGTACTTCTTCATACTTCTCCTTTTTAAACTTCTCGTTAACTTTCACTACGGAGTATTTTTATTCACTTTATCTGGAACTTACGCCATAAAAATTCACAACTCGGCAGAGATGAAAAGAATCTATTCTAAGATTACAGTTATGGTAATAATGACTATAATAAAATATTGTTAGGTGTAAAGGAGTAAAGAAGTGAAAAAAAAAATTCAGGGAATTAAGGACCTAAAAATACTGGCATAATTCGAGTGAACAATGACAATCATCATTGGTGCCAAATTTTTCTTGCTTCAAGAACCATCATTTCCATAAAAGAGTTCCAAAAGTTCCAATTTGAATTCTTTCAACAATATTACAAACAGCAACAAAGTTGAAAACATTTGGGAGAATATAATAAAAATGAAACTTACAGAAGCTTTGTTTTGTAGCTTCCAAAAATCCTTAAAAATATTTGAAATGAGAATTTGCACCTTTAAAATTTATTGTTTCTATCTGGACAATCAAAACTGATAGATATTTCGGATGATAGAAAAAGGAATATAGAGTACAATAAAATGATTCCTTGTTAGCATAACTAAATATTGCAAAATGAGAAGTATTTTACGGAGCAGATTTCTTGTTGCAAGTTTTACAAAGCATATAATAATAAAAAAAAAAAAAACAGAACAAAGGGGAAAAGAACAGCTTAACTAGAGATAGGCATCGGAAATTCTAGACTCGAAACATCGCCTTCATCTTCTAACGTCTGCATCCATCCGATGCCCCAAAGGCTTTCAAGATCATATTTGAGTCGCGCTTCACGGGTCATTATATGTAGTGAGATATCGTCGAACACGTAACACAACCACCGGCCAACTTTCGCTTTTTTCGGTGGCTGCACCTTAAAATTCAAAAATTAAAGAAGGATCTTAAAGAAAAGGAAAAACGAAAAAGAAAAAAACTATAATATGGAATGGTTAGACATATGATATTCATAATAAAGAGCAAACAAAAATAAAACCAGAAATGCGTTTCCTTTATCTTAAACTTACATAAAATTATTCTTTCAATGAAGACAGTAAAAAAAAAAAAAGAAAAAACTTAGCAAAATTAATTCCTATTTAAAATATTACAAAACTGTCCCTAAAACTGAGTTCATATTTCACTTTGTGAAAAAAACTGAACCAAGGACAGGGATATAGTACAACAAACCTGATTAGTCTTAAGCTTGAAACATTTCCGTACAGCGAGAATCATAGCTTCACCGTGTCTTATGTTATGAGGCGTACAAATAATAACAAATCTGTCATGTGTATCAATTACAGGCACTCTGATGCAAATGATATCTTCAGCGCACTCGGCTCGCAGTATGTTCACAATCTCTTCCACACTTAACGGACTTGATGAAAAATCTTGTTCGAAGTTTAGCAAAGGTTCAAGACGTTGACGTAAGCGATCTGCAAAAAGGAAAACAGTTAAAGAAAACTTGAACGCTGTATGTATCACCTCGCACTATAAGAAGTAAAGCTAAATAAATATTTATAATGGAACAAAATAAAGAAATCATTAGCAGTACAATATGAGGAACTAATTTCACTTTTTCGGCTATCAAGAACACATCTGTTTCAAAACAGATCATTCGTTTTCAGATGTTAAATCAGTGTTGACTGGCATCGAATTTTAGGTGAACAGTTAGACAATATATACCTGATTTCGTCATAATTTTGCACGAAGTTTCCAACTCCGTTTCCACCTCAACATACTCCTCAGTATACTGCTCGAAATACTTCTGCATTTCTCGAATTCTTTCTAAATCAATTTGTTTTTCTATCTCGATCGGATATCTTTCGTCGGATCTCAACAGCTGCTCATCTTTTGTATCGGTTAAATGACGCAACACAATCCTATTTGTGAAATAAAAACTTGCTGATCTATTTCTGACCGACCGTGAAGCAGCGAAAATAAAATGATAATGTGTAATATTGTATGATGAAACGCGACTCAAACAACTGATTTTAGGAAGTGACCGCCATGTCGGCAATCGGATTAGCGTGGATGACAACATTTCGAATTTTCTGTTCTACAACTGGTCGATATTTGGCGTCAACTTTGACTTTTTCCAACTCGTCTAGTATCTCGAACCCGTCTATTACACTGCAAATAATATTGGTTTTGAGAGCTATTATCGCACAAACAAAGAAAGAAAGAACGATAAAAATCTTTTGACCCATCTCATAAAAACTTACAGAACAAGTCATTGTGCAAAATAAACATGTTGCAAAAAACAAAGAAACATTAATAAATCTGCACATATCCAAAGTAAAAATTACAAATAAAAACAAAACAAACCGTCCGAAAACAGTATATTTCAAGTCCAATGTTGGATGTTTTGAGTACGTAATGAAAAATTGCGATCGACTCGTATTTGGTCCGTTACCAGCCATAGACACAACGCCCCTGGCGTCGTGCTATAATGATATATTGGAATTTAAAAACATCCTTTCACTTCTACAACCCAGAAATTAAGTTATTTAGAGAAGCTCACAAAAGCTATTACAACGAAAATAAATGATGTCGGCATGAAAGAGAACATATGGAAGACGTGAACAAATGTTTACAGCATAGTTAAAAGCTACATCACACTAAAAAAAATACCTTCAAAGCTGTGTTTAATTCGTCTTCAATTGGTCCGCCCCAGATACTGTCACCTCCTTTGCCTGTACCAGTTGGATCACCAGTTTGTACCATAAAATCTTTGATATTACGATGAAAAATGCAGTTATTGTAATAGCCACTTGCACACAATGCCAAAAAATTCTGCAAATCGGCAATTTTCTGTTAAAAAGAGATAAAATAAGTCTGGCGAATTTGCAAAAATAACTTTCCACAGTGTCACTAATGATAGGATCGCAGAATGATTTCGCGTTACTTAACATAATTATATGTAATCATATACAGAGAAAAAGCCGTGTGGTAATCTCAAGTATTCAGTGGAAAACTTGTAATCATTTATGCAACATAGTTACTCGTATCCTTCCTCTTCAAAATATATTTCTTGAAAAAAGAGGACGTGAAACGTAGAAATTGCATGTAACATATCATAATGCCTTTGTAACCAAATAATAATACTTACTTCACACGTTTTCGGGCATAAGTCGCAATACAATTCGATTTTGATATCGCCCAATGTCGTCTGCAACGTGACCGACATACGACTGTGTCACGCTTAACTCGGCCTTATATTCCACCAACTAAATTATATATCAAGAAGCTCTTCCAAGAAATTTTTACGTAACACACATCACAGCGTATCAAAGTATCTCGGGAACCGACAAACTCTTCAAATCCTTTCAGCAGACAAACACAAGCAGGCCGTGCCGTATTTCATCCGAGAGTTGAAGCTTGGTTTTGTGCTCTTTAGTTCTGTACCTTGCTACTAGTGCAGGTGCCTGAGGTAGTCTCGTCGATAAAGGTAACGGAGACCTTCGGACTCAGGTGTGGGTGAACTGAACTACCACTGAGATATGGTTGATTGAGACGGCCTCGATATTTCGCTTCCCAATTATCCATAAATTAATGTCAGTTATTCTCTGCTTCCCTTCTCTCTTGACAATACTTATCCCTACCTCACTTCATTAAAATGTTTTAACTTCCTTCATCAGCTGCACTACTACTTAATTCCATCCCATCTTCAACAGTCTTCACTTCTCCGTCTTCAGGAATACTTGCCATCATTTTCCTGAGAGAGTTTCTTTTTATCCAGAAGTTGTAATTCTCTGAATGATTCATTTTTATTTCAGTGAGGGGAGATCAAGACGGATCTATCATCATTATCGCAGATGCACTTCATGTTGACCGTTATAAATATTTTTAAAAACCCAAAAAGAAAAATGCTGCTCATACACGTCGATTTCAGCCGTAATTTTTAAAGTACTTAGTAAGATGAAGTAAATCCACTTACAGGCAGGAGGATATCGATGTAAACATGGATTGAAAACATAAAGCTTAATACTCCTCTAGAAATACTTCCAAGTATATGTGAAATTTTCAACTTCCCGTTGAATAGGTTCTGAAGTTACTAAATTCGGATTATAATTTAACATATTAACCGTATCTGTCACACTTCATATTTCTGAAGTTTAGTTGAAATGTTTCACTTCACTTTGCTTTATATTTTCTCTGATATTAGTACAAATATGGATGTCAGTGCATATATATGTGCTGGTTACCTTACTAGATTTCTCTCGAAAATGGATCATCTTCAGTCTTCTTTCCCGAGTTTCTTCAAAAAGTACAAATTCCATAAGCGCCAAAGCAGAATCGTCGATTGTAAAACTTTTCATTTGAATAAGAAATGATGCACCGTTCTATGTTTGTGAATGATTTAGGTGACAAATTCAAGGACAGATTTGATCAACCCTGCTTTTACTCGCTGCACATGAGCATACGGAAATTATTAAGAACAATGATATCAAAGGACAATTAAAGAAGTGCACACCGTTTTCTGGGAAAATTTTCAACAATTTTTCTTAAATTCTTCAGAGTTCCTTTTAAAAATTTTGAGTGTTTCAGAACATTATTTGATATTACCTGTCACACATATCAAAAAGGCATGAAAAGTACTATTTTATCTATTTCAAGTAGATAGGGGGTACGGTGCTTTTGAAGTTACTTTTGGATGAGTGATGTGCAAACACTCAGAATTCCTTAATTTCTTTTCCGCCCGCATCAACTTCAAGAAATATCGCGTCCATGATTGATGACGTCAAGTCGTTTCATTTTATTACAAGTTGATGTTTATGGTCCATACAGACAGCAGTTTTTTTAATGTTTGTTTGCTTCTTTAATATTTTGATCTTTCTAGAAACTTTCTGCTGCTCAGTGTTATATATATTAGAATAATTGCACAGATAATTTAGTATAATGTCAATCTCTTTTATGGTTTCTCTTCATCGCACAAAGTAAACAAGCATAGATGGTATTTTTGTGTTACTTTCCAGGTTAAAGGCTGTTTGGTACTAGTGAGCAAGTACTGCCAGAAATTTAAACCCATTATTTTGATGGGTATATAATTTATGTAAGGAACGAACAACAAAATTACACCAGTCGATGGTTACTTCGAAATTATGCGATGTCTCGAAAGTTCGGCCCTATCTTTACTTAAGTGGTTTTGGTTGTATTACGGAAAAGGTAAGCCTTTTATTGATAAAATTCTGTCATCAAGAGACAATTTCTGAACAATTATGGCGACTTTTTACAAATCATTTAATCAGGAATATCATATTTGAGGAACAGATTGATTTAAATTTTGGGACAGATTTATTACGCCTCACAAATTATGCGATCATCTATATCGCATAATTTTTCTGAGTAAGGATGGGGAGGATTTTCTACTCGTAATTCGGTAGTTATTGTGAGGCTATATAAAGAAAAAGAAGCAAAACTCGTCAAATCGTCAAGAATCCTGTCGGAGTAGAAAGGGAAGTAGTAAGTCAATCTGAATAACAATTGAAAGGAAGTAAAAATCTTGCCAAATGGCGAGCAATTTATAAGCAAAAAAGAACATGATTATAAATATTAACTTATTAGACAGTGGGTTAAAGATTTTTAGGTGTTTCATTAGCATTTAATTTACAAAAAATTGAATAAAGTATTTTCAGTCTTTCATAAAAAATATATTTTGTATCTTATGGATTCATGGAGTAGTCAGTTTCTTAGTGATGCTAACGAAAAAAAGAAATCCATCATATGAGAAAAATCTTCTCATATGATGGATTTTTTTACACTAATATGTTGGTTATGTTATCTTTGAATTGGTGGATTTGATTGTGGTTTGACAAACTAGGGTCTATCACCGGCTTTCTGAAAATTTTGCAGTTGCGACTAAATGGAATTGATTATTGTGTGTTGAATGCATCGGAAAGAGTTGCATATAAAATTCATCCCTTCCCGATATCCTCAAAAAGTAAAGATGCACTGAAATTGAAAATCGGGGCTGAGATCAATGAGAAATTATAATTGACGAGAAAGACTTGTAAGAAAGTATTTCGCCTCAGCTTATTGGTATTTAAAAAACGTATTTATAATTTGAGAAATATACTTTTTAGAAAAACTGGAATAGGAAAAGTGTTGTTAATATTCTAAAGTTTCTTCTTTTCTCTTTCATTCTGAAACATTGTACTGATTAATGCACTGCTAGAGATTTATTTCAGAACTTGAGAGAGCTAAGAAACTGCTATCTTTATAACTTTATCTTCATATTTCCACGGATCTATTTTAGAAACTACGAGATCTTGGAATAACACACATAATTGATGCTACCAATCTTCCCCATAATCCGCACTATGAAGGAATCGAGTTTCTGCACATCATGGTGGATGACTCATTGATTGCTAACCTTACTCCACATTTTGGAAATGCTGCACAGTTTATTCAGAATGCACAAAAAAAGGTGTTGCAATATGATTTTTAAGCAATAATTTTTTAGCTTGTTATAAGAATTGGCTGATGAAGTTTACCTAATTTTAATATTCACAGAATTCGACCAGGTGAAGAAATGTTAATAACGGCTACATACTTCTAAAGTACGATAACATGTTTGTGAGAATTTCAAAAAGTTTATCATTGACAGCTGATTTGGATAATCAAGATTGAGTTCATCTACATTAGACACAGTGAAATGCCTATTTTGGTGGCGATGAAATGTACTTCGAGTTTTGGAGAGAAAATTTAAATTGTCGTCAAAAAGAATTTTTCTACAGGGTGGAAAAGCATTAATTTATTGTGCAGCTGGAATCAGTCGCTCTTCGTCGCTGTGTATAATGTCATTGGTACTCAACGAAGGATTAAGTTTGAGGGAAGCATATTACGACGTGCTGGATAAAAGGCCATTTATATCACCAAATACGGCATTTTGGCGACAGATGATCGAATATGAATGTAAGGAGCGGGGTCGAAGTACAGTAGAGCTACTGAGAGGAATGACACGACCCATCCCCGATGTATATATCAGCAAAGTAAAACCTAATACCGTAGCTACTGTGAATGATTGAAGTCTGCAAAAGCACATTCATAGTTCTATGTTTTCAACACTGAATTAACACTGTGCAGTCATTGGAAATTGCTAGTATTCACAATAAATGTCAGTTATTTTATCTAATGTCGCATAGCATGAAACGAATGAAGACAACAAATAAAGCAGGGAAAGATAACTTTGTGAGTCTCGCGACAAACCAATTTTGTTCTCGAGAGTAATTATCAAAGAACGGGGTGATCCCTTATTGATAAAATTTCAATTTCAAAATTTCATTAAAGATGTAAATCTTTAATGTTTGAATGATAATTCTGACCATTTTTTGCACCAATTTTGCTGCTAAACATTCTTTAAATTCTATACTTTCGATTTTGCTTAAAGATTAAAGATTGCTTAAAGACTTGAATTTTACTGAACTTTCAGTTCGTGGTTTCCGAACTAAGAAATCGAAGTTATAGGATGAGAACTGTGAATGCTATGCGTACATGGGAGTCAGAAAATAACCATAAGCTCTCCCTGAGAATAGTTCAGCGGAATATGGAACCACCAAATTAAATTTGGCAGAATCGGAATTAGGTTGACAACATTAGTCAAAAAAAAAGTCATGCTTCTTATAAACAAGCATAGCTTATATGATGAAGATAGAAACTGGTGAATATCCTTGATTTATTTCTGCTCTAAGTAGTGGAAATAGTCTCAGAGTTATTTCTAAATCTAATTAAATAACTACATTTAGTTAGCGTATGTTTTCTTTAAAATGCAACAGTAAGTTAATAATTTATTTGGTTTTAGATGAGTTAAATTTCCTAGTAAAGTTAGAGTAAATCTCATTGAATAAGTTTTTGGTAATATTAAGATCTTTGGTCTGCTCTATTTTCCTGCGGATTGCGAGTTTCAATTGGTAGCTTTAGTTATTAATACCTGAAGGATGGACGTGTCGCTGTGGAATAAATGAACGAACAGGCAGTCTTTGTAACCTAAAAAAACAATTCACAAAGGTGGAAAGGTCAAAATGCAGTTCCAAGAACAAAAGAGTGTAGGATGACTCCTTTTAGGGATTCATGCTATTGTTGTCAGCAGTTCATATGTAATCCTTGTAAATGTGTGTTAATGAATTTGCTTTTGTTTTTGTTAAGCTTGTTGGATGTCCAATTAACTAGTGGCAGTTTATAAATGAAACTTGTTTAGGATGAAGAGATCGAGGATGGAGCAAAACTTTGCCGAAGAATGGAGTCAACAACCAGAAAACAGATTTAAGGAAAATGCAGTATCCTCTGATCGACTGGCTAGCCAATTTTTTTTCTTTCAGTAACGTTGTTTGCATTAATCGAAACAGAAATACCTGACCAACGGACTGTGCCTGTTGTCATTCGTAACTTAAATTGATAAGGAACTTACTTTACTTACCTCTCTATGCTGGTTACACTGAATCCAATTTACTGAAAATTTTATCTTTCTTTTCTTCACTGGCTGAAATTCATCGAGAAGAAAATAAAACGCGAAAGATTATGCCTCAAAATTGATTAGTGTTCTGACATGTTTCTGAGGAGATTCGTAAACAACAAAAAGGATCAGTCCTATTTGTTGTTGTTTACGATTCTCTTCAGCGAAAGAGTGCTTGAAGTTGAAATTTTTCATTTCACACATCGATTACTTCCGGATTGTAAGTCATTAGAAGACGAAGGACACGGCATAGTAATCTAACATTTGATAAAAAATTTTTTCGTGTGACGACAGTTGTCAAAAAGAAAGAAATTTCGTTCCTATCAAATCAAATTAACATGTCGGTTGAAGTAACGAAGATACGAACCTTCTTTATGAGGTAGCTTTTTTTTGAAATTAAACTTTCTTCTTTTGAAATGAACTTTTACAATCCTTCTCCTCACTAATTGCCTTTATTTAGGGAATAATGTCAGATAAAAGAAGGAATAATATTGAAGTTGAAGGCGCAAATGGACATATAACGATAATGTTAACATTTTTAAGTTTTATATTTAAGTAATATAAACAATTAAGGCAATTCAACCGATACAATGCTGAGAAAAAAATAGTACTTAAAAAGTCGAAATGGTATTTGATTTAACTATTGAATTTATATTGTTATTGAACAGAAATCGGTGGACTGTGTTTTTACATATGAGAATAAAGTAGTAGAAGTGGAGTGGAAGGGTAAAGATTACTGCTATACACCTTGTCGCCATAGAGTTTGTTCTTTTCATTGTTAAAAGAGTTTACATCGTACAATATCATACATTGCCTCCTTAACCGATACTTGAATCTATAGGACTAACAGGAGACATCATGTACGAACGATATAGCATTTCATAGCTATTCGAAATTCTTGCATGAAGAAGTGACAGAGGAAGGGTGAGCAAAAAAGAATACCTGTTATTACTTGTTTTTTTATATATTCCTTGTCACATTTTGTCAAGATGATGTACAATTACAATACTTATTAACCTGTCAACACAGCATCTATCATATCATAACGTATAATGAATTTCTTGTCTATTCTTTAAAATGGCTGAAGATTGCTAGTAGAATAGAAATGATTCTGAGGGTTGAATAAAATAAGGTTATCAAATATCAATTAAGTTATCATTAAAATAAGATCACTTACTTCAGTGATAGTTCATTGGTGGTTGATACTTATCTTTTTTTTTTCTTTTTACAATCAGACATCTGAAACATTGAAAGACGATCGTTTTAATTATGTTTCTAAAAGAAAATTTCTCTTGTTTACATTTCTTATCCGTGATGTTGACTTGTATCTAAATCTAAAACATATGCTCAAGCAACAGCCTCTTTCAGTCCTGTAACAAATACCTTCCCTTCACTTCCCACGGTAAATACCCGAGTAGATCGCATACTGTGTATCAACTACAACATTACAATCTAAATCGTAAAGCGATTGGAGTTTGAAAAGAAAATTGTTGTGCATAACAGAAATTGCAAACATATTACGAATAACTTTAGAGAAGGAAAAATGTTTTTTAACATAATGTTGACCTTTTCTGTAGGAAGCAAACAGGTGTTGCTCTTACGTCTTGCAGTGCATGTCTATGAATGTTTGACAGACACACCTTCCTAATGTCCCTTTTAAATTACCATCGCTTCCGATTTACAGTGCTGATAGTGGTAGCAACTGTCATCGTCTGTCCCTGTAAAGCAAACATTGTCACAGCAAGTTGTCGTTATGGGAAGACGACACTTTCATGCACAAAACTATCGACGTCTAAAAGCAGAGTGCATTCGAAAGAAACAGCTTTTTGTGGATGTCCAGTTCCCACCTACTAATGATTCCCTGTTTGTGGGACCAGTTAATCCAGAAATCGATGATATCGTATGGAAGCGACCAGGTGTAAGTAATATTTTTGCTTGCTTTCTCAGATTTGCATAGCCATTCTTCTGAACCACTGATAATTTCTTTTTCAAAGCAAAACAAACCTTGCTAAGCAGCTAAAATGTTCACGAAAAGAATGGAAACTGCTCTTTCGCACCACTTCATTAACCTTAATATTTCGTAGTATAACAGGCTTTTTAGAATGATCTATCAGCTTAACTTAGAACAGAAACTATTTTAAAATAAACAATCTAAACTTAACCTTAACTCTTAAAATTTAAATCATTGGGATATTCGTAATTATCAACAAATGCTTCTAATTGGAAAGATTGAATTTGACATACAATTGATCACAATCTAATGACAATAGTTCACTTAACGATCATTTATTTGCAAGAATTATCAGTGCTGAAGTAACTAAGTCCTTTTACTTAATCTGCCTCATCTGTCAGCAATATGAATAGTAATTTAACCGTAATGTGGGTGACAGTCCGTTTGCTTGAACTGAAAGTGCATATGTAATGTGAAAGAATAGCGATTGATGAGAAAGAATTCTTTGTATAAACTCTATCATTATTCCATTGCTTTCCGTTTTCTTAACGTTAATTAATGTTACGTAGCGTTGAACGCACTGATGTTAGCTGATGTCATAGTCCATATGCATCTTAATTTTCAAAAATTTCTCATCTTACTTATAAGTGGAATTTTAAAGCTGCGGTCACGGGATCAAAGAAGACAGATTGTTTCTGATGAAATATCTCTTTTGTATGCTCCTTACCTGTGAATTACAGGAGATTGTTGACAATCCACAGTTATTTGTGGAGGGTGCCACGGCGAATGATGTAGCTCAAGGTGTACTCGGTAACTGTTGGTTCGTATCTGCCTGTTCAGCGCTTACACACAACCAAGCATTGCTCAAAAAAGTTTGTTTTCCATCTTGTCTAGCTGCTTCACATAACTGTTGGCCTTTCATCTAGCAAAAAAAGTTGAAGAATGTCTCGGAGAAAAGCAATTAGATGTTTTGCTGATCAAAATAGCTCTGATATTAATGGAATGATAATCATTATACTAATGTCTTAATGAGACTTGGCTAAATCATGAAGTAAACGTACCAGAATGAATTCAGGTGATACCGGATGCTATCGGACAAGAGTGGACGGATAGTAACTATTACTGTGGTATATTCCGCTTTTGTTTTTGGCGTTTCAATCAGTGGATTGAAGTAGTTATTGATGATTTATTGCCAACTCGAGATGGAAAGCTACTATTTGCACGGTCAAAATCATCCAATGAATTCTGGAGTGCTTTGCTCGAAAAGGCTTTCGCCAAGTTTGTCTTTTTTTCTTGCTTAAATAAAATCGGTCAATTTCGAATCTTTTCCTTGGTAATGATTTTAAGATACAGGTTTCATCCATTTCCCAAAAACAATTTACACAGTTATGGCGACATTTGAAGTATAATATATTTTGCTAGATCTAATGAATTTCTACTTTAATAATTTCATCAATAAGTAATAATCCCTATGATAGCTAAAATTTCGAAATAAGCATTTTTATTGCATCCTTTAATAACAAGACGAAATTTATGCATTCCTTCCTCATTTAATTTTGGGAGATTTTCAGATAGAAAAATTCTGTCTTTCAGATTATATGGTTGTTACGAAAATTTGGTTGGCG